GACAGAACTAACAAAAAAAGCCAGTTTTGAAGGCTGGAAAGTAAAGTAGACCAGGTGATCAATAATATTAGAATATTTCTCAAAGGAGGAAATTAATAGATGACATTTCTACAGAATATGCATTTCTCAAATGAGTTTGACCAGTCAACACATTAGTCAGTAGAAACCAGATCTACAGAATGGTTGTCAACAGATGAATGGAACCACCTCCTAGACAGAAAATAAATCAGCTGGCAGAATCCGGATCCATTAACTCTGGGAAGGGAAGGCATGGATTCCATAATTCAGAGTCCTGAAGCCATTGGATCCATAGCTCAGTGAGGAGCAGCTCCTCGATCCATTGCTATGGGAACAGCAGCTACTGGATCCAAAACCCAGAGACTTAGACTGCACAGTCGAGCAAGAATTGCAGAGCATGGGGGTCCTGAGGTAGCAGCAGAAGGTCTGGCAGGGGCTGGACTTCACACATGAGGTCTGGCAGCTGGTGGGGTCCCAGTAAGTCTCCTCACATGCCCTGTAGAGACAGGAACCCAGCTGAGAGGTCCTGGGAGAGCAGAGGTCAGTGCTATAGACCAGGTTGCTGGGGTAGGAAGAGCCACAGGAGGAGCCTGGGTAGGGCAGGTAGCCCCCACAGGAGTGGGAGGAGAAGTTTCTAGAGCAGCAGTTGAAGGACATGTTGATGGGAGATGTGAGTTCAGCTGAGTGTACCTAAGAAGATTCTGAGTTTGAATGTCGCATCCTGGACAGGACCATCTATATCCTCTTAGCAACAGGTGTGGTGCACAGCAGAGTCATCCTTGACATTTTTGTGTTCCCTCATTTACGTAGGTGTAACTCAGCATTCTTGTCTGTAATTGCATTTGAATAGTTTTCCATATATTGTATTTATGGGTGCTATAATTTTGGTGTTATAGCAGGAAGCCAATGAATTGCACTTGTGTCAGAAATGCTATGACTGTTCCACGTTCATGCTTATTTTATTATGTCTAGCAAAGTACCTCCTTTTCCTCCTAGCATAATTTTCATGTGTCTTATTATTGACTCTTCTGGACAAATACTTTTGCTAAACAGTGAGAAATAAGATAAAGTTACATGTTTTGTTTTGTTTTGTTTTGTTTTGTTTTGTTTTGTTTTGTTTTGTTTGGTCAATAGAGTGGAGACACAACTTTGTCCTTAATTCGAAAGCTGTTTAAAACTAAACCTATTTGTCACCATGCTTTCTCATTCTATAAAATATTTGTTAATCTTTTACATACTATTACCCACTGTATCTCACATCCAGTGTAGACAGAAAACTATGAGCCAAGACAAATTGAATAACATTGATACCTATGACCGGAAGGAAACCTGGACAATTATTTGGAGACTTGGTGACAGCAAGGGATGGAACTGAGACAATCACAAGTGAAAACCAATTTGGAGTCTTACGAAGAGAAACAAAGTGGTAAATAAACACCATTGAAATGTGAGAAAAAAAAATGAATTTTAGATTCAGTGACTCTAATATGAGGCCCGTGGTCCTAACAGATTCTCATTCATTTGTGTAGCAGCCTGGAGAATTCACATCTCTGATCTTAAATTACAGGAGTCTCAAATAGCCAATGGCCCTACCTGCTGTGTTCTAAAAGTTAACACTGCATTTTTGGTGAAGTCTTGCTTTCTACGAGCTGCTCCCAGGCAAAGACTGAGCACAGAGGAGCTATAGAGATTCCTGGGAGATACCTGACGGCCAGGTTTGACTCAGGGTTTCCTCAATGGCCTTAAAGAACTACAGTCCCCTGCATATGTCTCAAGCATTTCTATCTCTTTCTCCTTCACTTGGGTCAGAGCTATGTTCAAATCTTACATTTCTCCCAACCTTCTCTCAGGGGAGATTCTGGAAAAAGAAGAAATGCCGAAAGCCTGAAAATACTGAATCTTGTTTATACTTTTTAGCAAGTGATACTGTTTGGATTTGTGTCCCTGCCCAAATCTCAGGTAATTGTAATCCCCAATGTTGGGCAAGGCCTGGCAGGAGGTGATTAATCATGGGGTGGATTTCCCCCTTGCTGTCATTGTGATAGTGAGTGAGTTTTCATGAGAAATGTGTAGTACTTCCCCCTTCGTGCTCTTCCTTCTGCTCCAGCCATGTAGGACTGCCTGCTTCCCCTTCATTTTCTGCCATGATTGTAAGTTTCCTGAGGCCTCTCAGCCATGCTTCCTGTACAGCCTGAAGAACTGTGAGACAATTAAATCTCTTTTCTTTATAAATTAAACAGTTACAGGTAGTTCTTTATAGAAGTGTGAGAATGGACTAATACAAAAAGTAAATCGATTTTTTGATGGATAGCAAAGAATTTAAACTGGCCATTTTATCTTAAGTGTGCCAATCAGGGTAAACAAAAAAAATTCAGTTGTTCAATGATTTAGAGAAATAATGAAATAAAACTTCTGAGTTCAGTTTTGGAGCTTATGTTCAGACTGTCTCCAGGTAATGTCTGCTAAAACCCATTTTTTCAGACATCTTCACCTTAGACTAGATCCACACCATTCTCATCACTATTATTTTACATGTGAGTTTATGTCTTTCATCAACATTGGTAAATTCTCAACTGTACTCTCTTCAAATATTGTTTCTGCCCTATTCTCTCCTCTTTCTTTTGCTTAGATTCCAATTGTAAGCAAGGTACATTTTTTAACTACGTTACAGGTGGCTCATACTCTTTTTTCTATTTTTGATCTTTATATAGACAAATTGGCTTTTGCTTATTGAGGTTGTAACCTGGATGGTTAGCAAAAGCAAGAGTTTTTAGCATGTTAATGACAAGTTGATTGGTAACTTCAAAAGAGAAGCAAGTAGGTGCCAAACGTTGTAATTCTCAACTGTGGATGAGATTCTGTTGGAAACACATCTCAAGTATCTGATACTATTATTCATAGTCCAGTGAAGAGAATCTTCTGTCAAAAGATCAGAAGCCTTCTGATGTATATCCCTGAGTCACATATTTTATGTGAAATATCCCGATTTTTAATTGTTGATAAACAACGACACCCATGACGAGGCTCCATATTAAACAGAACAAACAATAAAATCTCCAAGATTAAGTGAGGGCAAAACGGAGGCATTTACAAGTTCTTCTTAAATTTCTGTCAAATTAATGTGGACAAAGTTTTAGGGATTAAGAGGCAAAGAGAAGGGAAGAACACCTCTTTTCACATTAACTGGTTCAGAGAAGGATTTTTTAATAAGGAGGCTGGATTAACTGAAGCAAATTCTCTAAATCCTCCAGTTTCACCTGAATAAACTGATGCTCCCCATTTAACTTGTAAGTTTTTTCTTCAAGATTATATTAGAGAGTTATGTTTGAAATGGAAGAAAATGTGGAAGAAATAGTTTCCAAACCTACCAACTAAGGCACAAGATAAGGGGAAATCAACTGCTATTGAGAAACAAAAAAATAACTCACTGAAAAGATATTTGAATTGGGCATATTTGCTTCTTTCTTCATTCTTCTTCCTTCTAGAAGGTCTGTATTAAGTTACTTTTTAATATTTTAATTGAGAAAATTTAATCAAGAAAATTTCTAACATTGTTGTTTGTTATATTTTATTATAAAATAAAATATTGCCATCAACCATGACAGTACACTTTCTTTGGTCCTGAATATAATTTAACTACTTGTATTTCAACATAGAATATTTTGTGAATGAACTTACAAAGTGGCCATCCTCAGAGAATGTGACAAAGCTGTCAAATTTTTGTTTTTCAACATGCAATCTAGAATTCAGCAGAGGCAAACAAACAAATAAACAAAACACAAAATGTAACAGGTAAAAGAAAGAAAAAACAAAAGATAAAATCAAACTTAAGCATAGATACAAAAGAAAGAAAAATAGACGGAAAGAAAATCAGAGAAAGAGAGATAGAGAGGTAAGAGAGAAACATTCATATACATGCAGAGGAAAAGAGAGCTGGGGAGAAAAAAAATTCACATTTTTGCGGGAAAATGTAGGATGGTACCTGGTTGTACAAATGGCAAAATGTAATTGAAAACCAGTATGAAAAGCTAGAGACATTCTAAGAGGATAAAGGCCTGGATAATTATAAAAGTAGGTGATAAATATATCAAAGTTCATAAGATACTCTAATTTTGAAAATTTTTCCTCATAAATACATTGGAACAAGAGACGTGACAACTTGAATGCAATAGGAAACTATTCTGAAATTCCTGAGCTTTCTCATTCTTTCTTCTTCAGTTGTTTCCTCCCTTCAGCCGACAAGCTTTTGGCTCTTTGGCTGAATAGAGATGACCTCAAATTGATTTTCTCTGTGGCTGTGTCTCAATCAAGCTGCTGCTTCTTTTTTTTTTTTTAATCTTTTCTTTAAGGTTTCTTTCTTGCCGTTCTTAAGACAAGGTTTCTTTCAGTTTCTAGCCATTTCTTTCAATCTGCTTGCTTCGTCTCTTCTTGATCTTTCCTCACTGGATATGAGACATGCTTTATAACTGTAGCACTTGGTGTATTAATTTTCTCTTACTGACCTAACAAATCACCACAAAGTAATTTTGGAGTATAGCAATGAATGGTGACAAGATGGATCATTTCCACAGAGGTTCTTATCCAGGTGGAAACTAATTCATTGCACCAGAAGAAAACTAATGTTATCTCATTCCCCACTCTTAAGAGGAAAACATTCACTAGCAAAGCTAGCTGTGAATACACAGGAAAAGAGGCAGGTAGCACGTGACAAATTAAAAGGAAGAGCTTTCCTTGTCATGATGAGCTAGGCGTTAATGTAAAACAGTCATAGCATTTCTGACATAAGTGCAATTCATTTGCTTTCTGCTATAACACCAAAATTATAGCACCCATAAGTACAATATGTGGAAAACTATTCAAATGCAATTACAGACAAGATTACAGAGTTACACATATGTAAATGAGGGAGTGCAAATACGTAAAGGGTGACCCTGTTGGGCACCACACCTATTGCTGAGAGGATATAAATGTTCTTGTCAAGGATGCGACATTAAAACTCAGAATCTTCTTAGGTACACTTCAGCTGAACTCACATCTCTCAACAGCATGTCCTACAACTGCTGCTCTGGAAACTTCTCTTCCTGCTCCTTTGGCAGGTACCTGCACTACCCAGGCTCCTATGCCAGCAACCTGGCCTATACCACTGACCTCTGCTCTCCCAGCACCTGCCAGCTGGGCTCTTCTCTCTACAGGGGCTGTCAGAAGACCTACTGGGAGCCCACCAGCTGCCAGACATCCTGCTACCGCCCCAGGACCTCTATGCTCTGCAGTCCCTGCCATATGACTTGCTCTGGATCTCTGGGCTTTGGGCCCAGCAGCTGCCGCTCCCTGGGCTATGGGTCAAGGAGCTGCTACTTACTGGGTCATGGATCTAGTGGCTTCAGATCCCTGAAATATAGAGGCTGTCGTTTTCCTTCCCTGAGTTATGGATCCAGATTCTGCTACCCAAATTATTTGGCTTCTAGAGCCTGCCAGTCTTCTTGTTACAGACCAATCTGTGGATCTCGCTTCTATCAATTCACCTGCTAAATTTCTGGATCCCTTTGAGTATTGGGATCAAAGTCTCTACTGAATGCAGCCATTGTATTCATTCTCTCCAGTTCCCAGTATCCTTTTATTCTTTCACCACCAGCTTCTTGAATCACCTACTTCTGGCAGACTGAAATTAATGAGTAACCCAATATTAAGTTTAACGTCTTTACCATTGATTGAATATATGCTATTTGATTTTCATCCAATAACTGTTGAAAATGGAAATTTTAATTTAATAAATTTATGTAATCTGGTACCCAAATATATTGTTTAGTTTATTTTTATTTTATTAATTATTATTATTATTCTTACATTTTATATTCAATAATTTGGGAGATTTAAGTAAAAAATAAATATGGTGGTGTAACTGGATTTGGGGCACATATAATCTGACAGATTTGAGAACATTTCTGTTGAAATTAGGTACGTTATCTATTAAGAATCATTGTTTCTTAAAGACCATAGTTTGCATTTGCAGACTTGTCTCAACAGCAGTAAGAATTGTCTAAGAATGGACATACATTTCTACTGATATAGAAAAGCAGAAAATCTGATGCATAAACTAGAAATGCAGACAACAAGAATAGGATATAATTTATAAGGTAAACTGAATACTTATACTAAAAGTGACTTAAAAGTCTAATATCTGAATGTGGATTTTCAACCAAGAGAAAAGTGAAGCGGAAGCAACTGCTGGGACAGAAGCCTTGCTCTTTGTTAGTAGGCATAAGTGCCAGGGTCCCTGCCTCCCACTGGTAAGGAGAGTAAGGATCATTCACCAATGATCTTAAGTGGGAATAACTGGGTTCAGGAGGCTTGGGTAACGTACAGACGCTTCTTTTGTTAAAAATTATTATTATACTTTAAGTTCTGGGATACATATGCAGAAAGTGCAAGTTTGTTGCATAGGTATACACAAGTCGTGGCGATTTGCTGCACCCATGATCCCATCATCTACATTAAGTATTTCTCCTAATGCTATCCCTCCCCTAGTTCCCCACCCCCACAACAGGCCCCAGTGTGTCATGTTCCCCTCCCTGAGTCCATGTGTTCTCATTGTTCAACTCCCACTTATGAGTGAGAACATGTGGTGCTTGATTTTTCTGTTTCTGTGTTCATTTGCTGAAAATGATGGTTTCCAGCTGATCATCCATGTCCATGCAAAGGACATGAACTCATTTTTTTTATGGCTGCATAGTATTCCATGGTGTATATATGCCACATCTCCTTTATCCAGTTTATCATTGATGGGTATTGGGTTGGTTCCAAGTCTTTGCTATTATAAATAATGCTGCAATAAACATATGTGTGCATGTGTCTTTATAGTAGAATGATTTATAAACCTTTGGGTATATATCCAGAAATGCAATGACTGGGTCAAATGTATTTCTGGTTCTAGATCCTTGAGAAATCACCACACTGTCCTCTACAAAGGTTGAACTAATTTACATTTCCCCCAACAGTGTAAAAGTGTCCCTATTTCTCTACATCCTCTTCAGCATCTGTTGCTTCCTGACTTTTTAATGATTCCCATTCTAACTGGCATGAAATGGTATCTCATTGTGGTTTTGACTTCCATTTCTTTAATGACCAGTGATGATGAGCTTTTTAATATATGTTTGTTGGCTGCATAAATGTCTTCTTTTGAGAACTGTCTGTTCATCCTTTGCCTACTTTTTGATATTTTTTTTTCCCTTGTAAATTTTTTCAAGTTCTTTGTAGATTCTGGATATTAGCCCTTTGTCAGTTGGGTAGATTTTCTCAATGGGGCAAAAATTTTCTCCTATTCTGTAGGTTGCCTGTTCACTCTGCTGATAGTTTCTTTTGCTGTGCAGAAGCTCTTTAGTTTAATTACATCCCACTTGTCAATTTTGGCTTTTGTTGCCATTGCTTTTGGTGTTTTAGTCATGAAGTCTTTGCACATGCCTATGTCCTGAATGGTATTGACTAGGTTTTTTTCTAGGGTTGTTATGGTTTTGTGTGTGTGTGTCTCTGCCAGGTTTTGGTATCAGGATGATGTTAGCCTAATAAGGTGATTTAGGGAGGATTCCCTCTTTTTCTATTGTTTGTAATAGTTTCAGAAGAAATCGTACCAGCTTCTCTTTGTACCTCTGGTAAAATTGAGCTGTGAATCCATCCTGTCCATCCTGGCCTTTTTTTGTTGGTAGGCTATTAATTACTGCCTCAATTTCAGACCTTGTTATTGGTCTGTTCAGAAATTTGACTTCTTCCTGGTTTAGACTTGGGGGATGTATGTGTCCAGGAATTTATCCATTTCTTCTGGATTTTCTAGTTTATTTGTGTAGTGGAGCCAACCAAAGTGAATTCATGGAAATATTTCCGAGTAAAGCAGTATTATAGGAAGCAGAAGTAGCTTACAACGTGTAAAAAATATTAATAAACATAAGAAAATTTTTTTCATATGCTTTGCCATATAAAATAATACAAATTATTTCCTAAAAATAAGTGAAACAAGGGCTCAAAGATAATGCTACAGCAGAAAAATGTGAACATGGTGATTGATGGGGTAAGGAAAAATATTGATTGCCAATACAAGAGTATATACAAAGTATTTCAAAATTTTTCAAATTATAGCTTCTACTTTTATTGATAGAATATTGCAGCTTGTTAAGATACAAAGTGAGTTATGTATTTACCACAGTTAAAAATGTCATCTTCTCCACAGGATTTCTATTTTCTTTACCATGATGTCCTTTACCAAAATTTGTATTTTTATCATTATGGATACAACCTTTGGGTCTTGCCTTTGTGGATCAACTTACTGAATATTCTCCATTCTCTCATGATTATTTATGTACTCTATGGAAATCTAACACTCAGCCTGTCCAATATCTGTGATTGTTGAGCATCTACATCAGCAGAACTCAGTATCCTAGCCCTCCTGGAAGTATATGGTTGAACATGGACAAATTAATCTTGACCTTGACCTAGAAACTTTCTTGATCTGAAAGGAGATATATCTTAAACTTCAATTTTTGTGTCAATGCTTATAATTATTTCTGTTATCATCTTTCTAAAATTCTTTTCTCATTATTTTTCCAGAATTCTTCCATTCAAGTGTATTTCAAATAGTTGCAATATTTTAAATAAACTTATTTCTTTAGGATGAATTCTGGTATTCTATTTTATTTTATTAATATAATACATTTAAGTTGGGCATGATGGCTCATGCCTGTAATCTCAGCACTTTGGGAGACTGAGGCTGGTGGATCACTTAATGTCAAGAGTTCGAGGCCATCCTGGCCAGCATGGTGAAAACCTGTCTCTACTAAAAATACAAAAATTAGCCATGCATGGCATGCGCCTGTAATCCCAGCTACTTGGGAGGCTGAGGCTGGAGAATCACTTGAACCTAAGAGACAGAGGTTGAAGTCAGCAGAGATCATGCCACTGTACTTCAGCCTGGGTGACAGAGCAGGACCCTGTCTCAAAAAAGAAAGAAAGAAAAGAAAAGAAAAAAAAAAGACACATTTAGTGAATTCATCCTATATCTTCAATTGTCTTTATGCATGCCTGTAATCCCAGCTACTCAGGAGGCTGAGGCAAGAGAGTCACTTGAACCTGAGATACAGAAGTTGCAGCCAGCCAAGATCATGCCACTACATTCCTGCCTCTGGGTGGCAGAGTGGGACTCTGCATCAAAAAAATAAATAAATAAAATAAAAAAAAATAAGATACATTTCGTGAAGTCATCCCATATCTTCCACTGTCTTCAGTAGGTAAGCTTTTTTGTTTGTTTCATATGTTTTATTGCCATTTTGTTGATTTTGTTGAATAAAAAACAGAAAGTATAGAGGAAAATTTAAATATAGAATCTATCTCATGTATTAAGAGATTTAAATCCCCTCATAAGTGCATTTTTTATATATTTGCTTTAGAAAAATTTGCTTTAGTCTTTCATTGAAAAACATATTTATTGAGGTCCAATTATATACCAAGCACTATACTGAACAAAGACACAAATTCTCTGTTTCACGAAGTTCACACACATACAATCATAATTTATCATTACATGGCAAATGGAATAATGGGGATGAGAACAAGTTTCAGTGGAAACACAAAGAAGAATTTGTTCTTTTAAAGAACAAATTTAAAAGATTTGTTCAAAGACACTCAGAGAAAATCATATAAACCCATTATTAAAAATAGAGGAAGTAAGTTACACTTAATTTTAAAAGAACAACTCTTACTGATCAATTGTGTCCACCGCAGTCCTTTAAAAAGCAGCTGCCAGATGGGATTAAACATGGAAAATATCTATTGGTGAAAATACCAGTGATGGATAATGGGGAGGTAGCTGGAGAGGCCTGGGAGAGCTGTACTACTGTGGCATATGTCTAACCTCAGCGAACAATAGAGGGAAGGAAGTTTGGCCTAGAAGAAACTTCTTTAGGGCAATTCTAAGAAAGTTTTGGCTTGTCACCCATCAAAGGAGCCTTAGATATCACCAAAATGGATCTGCCTTAGCATCTTTGCCAAGAGTATTTATTCACAAGAATGGATGGCAGCACAGCCTTGGCACAGAAACAATGGTAGATTCAGAGACCAGTAGCTGGAGCTGTCAATCAATTAATAATTCTCTCTGATGCAGGAGATTTAAGAGGTACATGTGAGTACTTCCACCTTCGTATTTATTCTGATCCTAAGTAAGCCCAGCACCAATAAACAATGGTAAAATAATAAATTATAGCTTGGAATTTTCCGTGTTTTTCTTACTTTGATCAAAATGTAAATTATTACATCAAACCCTATATAGGACCCACTGAATGAAAATCTACCCCTACTACTGAATAAGAGAGAAAAATCAAGAATCAGTAAATGGTTATCTTTGATGTTAACTGATGCATTAAGCAGACAGGACTCAGGACACAATTAGAAACTACTTCATTTTTTTTTTAACACCATTGAACTTCACACTTCAACATAGGACTCTAGCTTCCCTGAATCCCTGAACAATACAATGGGTAGATCTACGATCACATTAAGAAATGTTTTCATTTCACATTAGCGGTTCAAAGCTGCATAATTATTTAAAAACCAGTCTTACAGCGACAGTCAAGGCTGCTCCCTGTTCCCTTACTTATTTAAATGAAAGCAAATTCCCACTT